AAAAGGAAAAGGACAAAAAAATATATATTATTTGTAGGAAACACTTTTTGTTGTGCTGGGGATGAAACCCAGAACCTTCATAGTGAGCTTCACCTCCAACTCTTTTTTTTTATATTCTTATTTTTGAAAGAAGGTCTCAAGTCAGTGAGTTGCACAAGCTGGGCTCAAATTTGAGCTCTTCCTGCCCCAGCCTCCCAGAATTCTGGGATTACAAGCCTGTGCCACCAATCTACCTGTAATTTGTCAATTTTGTAGGGGTCAGGGATATAGCTCAATGGTGTAAGTTCCTACCTGGCAAGCATAAGGTCTGGAGTTTGATTCCCAGTACCAGCAAACAAACAAACAAACACACAATGTTCAGACTAAGCTGAGACAGACACAGAAATTCACAGTGTTGGGACTTTGACTAACTACGCAAGGCTGTGGGGACCAGAAGTGCTTGGCATTCTTAGCTTGTCCTACAGCAAAGTGGCCAACAGGGCAGCCTGGTACTCGAGGGTCTGAAAAGAAGCTTGCAAGGCTCTGTGTGGAGTCACTTGTCCACATCAGGATGTCTTTAACAGCGAGGGGTTTGCTCTGTATAATCAGGTTAATAGTCTGAGGAGGCCTTTTTCCAATACTTCTTATTGATGTTGTCTGGGTACTAAGACTGCTGAGTTTATCTCCGTAGCAAGTGGTGTTTTCCTTACATCCCCGACCCTCTCAACACACACTTCACAGTCAGGAGAGCTGCAGTCAGACCGCAGAGGAGGGAAGGAATGTCACTTTTCCTATGTAGACAGAGGGGCTGGTAAAGTCTCTCATATATACTAGGATTAGGTCAGGTGTGATGGCACATACCAGTAATCTCAGCAAGGCTGAGGCAAGAGGATCATAAATTCTAGCCTGGCCTGGGAAATTCATCAATTTAGTAAGACAATCTCAAAATAGAAAAAGGGACCTGATGTTGGGTGTTGTGGCAGACACCCGTAACCCCAGTGCTAGGGAGGCTGAAGCATGAGGATTGGTGTGAGTTCAAGGCCAACTTGAATTACAAAGTAAGGCCCTCTTAGCAAGCAAGCAAGCAAAGGGGGCTTGAAATGTAGCTCATTGCAAAGGGCTTAGGTTCAGTTCCATCAAAAATAGGAGCATGCCCAGCACTCGGTAGGCTGAGGCAGGAGGGTTGTTGTGAGTAGACCAGCCTGGCCTACAAAGTGAGCTCAAAGCAAGCCCAAACTGCACAGTGAGACCCTGTCTCAAAAAAAAGAAAAAAAAATGTGCCTACGTGTGCATATGCACACACTAGGACTAACATATAGTTGTACGAAAGAAAATTTTTTAAAAACACAAGAATGTGGCCAGGGATATGGCTCAGTGATATAGCGCCTGCTTGGCAAGCTGAAGTCCTGAGTTTAATTCCTGACACATAAACAAAACAAAAAGACAAGAATGCACAGGCTGCGAGTCATAATCATTGCTTAGTAAAAATATTACTTGTTTTTTGGGGGATTGCCTGAAATAACTTAGTGCTCTAAGGAAGGGCACTGAATGCAGGAGGTGGAAGAGGTTTCTGGAAGCCCGCAGCAGCACAAGCCAGGATTTCTTCTTTTCCTCTACTCCATCCTGGGGGCACCCCTCCACAGCATTAAAAAGTCCTGTGAAGGGCCAGGGCTTTAGCTCAACAGCACAGCGCCTGCCTAGCAAGCACGAGGTCCTGAGTTTGATTCCTGGTGCCAAAAAAATAAAACTAAAAATAAAAATAAATAGAAAGCTCCGTGAACTGTGGACAGCAGCTGGGGCACACCTAAGATCCCATTAGTGGGGAGATGGAGGCAGGAGTATTAGAAGTTCCGGCCCAACCCATGTCGGAATTTAGCAAGACTCTGTCTCAAAAAATAAGTTTAAGAGCTGGAGCTTTAGCTAAGCGGTATGGGTGCCTGGCAAGCGCGAGTTCATGAGTTCAAGCCCCAGTACCAAAAAACCCCTAAAGTTTTAAAAAAGGGTAGGAGGTAGCTTTGGCTCGCACCCTTGGCACCACAGGATAAATGAGTAAATAATTTAAAATTTAAAGACAAATAAATAAGTGAGGGGGGAGGGTGCTGCGGACGTGGCTCAGCTCTCCTTAAATCAAATTCCAGCACTGAAAAAATAAACTAACAAGCGAATGCATTGCCCAGAGAGGCAGCCTGGGGGGTCTGCTGGGGTCTGAGACCCCAAAAAAAAAGTCCCCCGCGGCCAGGTGTGGCCCGCGGCTGTGTCCGCCCGCACGCGGGGGGCGCTGTGCCGAGCAGCGGGGTCCCCGCCGCGGGCGCCTCCCGGTCCGCGGTGAGGCCGGCGCGCTCCGGGCAGCGGTGGGGGCGGACCCCGGCCGGCCGGCAGCGCGGTGCCGGGAGCCGCGGGCAGCGAGGGCGCAGCTTTGCAGGGTCGCAGCTGGCGGCGGGCGACCTCCCGCCCCGCGGGCGCCGCCCGCCCGTTTCCGCAGCCGCCACGTCCGCGCCCCATCCCCGGACGTCCCGTCCCGACCCGGCGGCCGGCGCCCAGCTAGCGGTGAGGCGGCGCCTCGCCTCGGCCCTGTGACTCCGGGAGTGACTCAGGGGCCCTGCAGGGCTGGGGCGAGCCGGGGATGCAAACCAGAGCCGCCCCGCATTGATCAGTCAGTCAGTCACTGCCTGGCATTAATCGATCAGGTCCTGCATTAATCAGTCACCGCCCTGCCAGCCCGCTGCTCCCCTCAGCGTGGGCTCCAAGCCCTTCCTGGCCACTAACAGACCGAGAAGAAAGCCCTCCCCCACCCTGTTTTTGTCTTCCTGAGTATTGAGAAATCAACTCCAAACCATGAGCTTGTCACCTGCTGGGGGCCCCCTACAGATCCTCCCAAAAGAGGCAGGAGCCTTAACTTGCCCACCCACGAAATGTGAAGTTCGGGGCCCTGTCCGGGAGAGCAGTTTCCCAGTGAAGCCCTATTGTTGGGGCATAATTATAAGAACACATTTATAAAATAGCCAAGTTATAGGTATTTCATGATCAATTAGAGGTATCTGACCAAGTTTCCGTTCTGCGGCTTCTGCTGAATTCATTTGATGTTGACAGTGTGTGAAGCCCAGCTGCACACCTCTGCTGAGCACTGAGTCAGAGTAGTTGTCCGGACCTGATGGCACCCTGGGCTGGTCAAGGGCACTGGGCTGGTCAAGGTCTCTGGATATGGAGGCTGGCACTGGATTTCTGTTGGTGGAAATCTTGAGAGCCCAGCTGCTGGCTTCAGACACTTCCATGTACCTGCTCAGCTCTGCAGGACCATGTCCCGGGAGAGCCCTGGCCTGTATAACTTCCTTCTGGACTAGCTTCTGGCTGCATCTGGCATGCTTTTGAGTTTACCAAAGCATGGCTTGGTTATAAAAGACAGGCCCACTGGTGGATTGCTCCTTGAGTTACTTGTCTCGGGACTTGCCCACCTCAGAAGGACCGTTGAGGCTGCAGAGAGGGCCCCAGGAGGAGGGACAAGAACCAGGGCCACCATCTGCATGGGTCGAATTCTCTGAGGCCCTATGGCCCAGTGAAGCTTTAAGGTGGAACAGTGGTTGGGTTCCATCCTCCCCCACAGTCCCTGAACCAAAGCCCCGGGCTGGATCAGATTACAGATTCCTGACCCACAGGACCCACAGGACCCACAGGAGCCACGGGAGCCAGTGAACCTTGGTGTTAAACCCGCTGACTCTGGTGTATTTTCCATGCAGAAATAAAGACCCGGCATTAAAGGTTTTTCTGTATCTGACTCTGGGTAGAAGTATTGAAGGAAGAGAGACACCCACATGGGCTCTCTGGAGGGCAGAGTCATGACTGTGCTTGAATTATAGACCTGTGATTACAAACTCAGGGTGAAGGCACCAAATCAGGGCAAAGAGTAGCCAGGTGTGTTGATGCACAGCTGTTATCCTAGCACTTGGGAGGCTGAGGCAGGAAGATCACAGTGCGTTCGAGGTCAGCCTGGGCTATATAATGAGACCCTGTTTCTTTCTTTTTTTTTTCATTGGTACCAGGGATTGACCTCATGACAAGGCAGGTACTTATCCCCCTGAGCTAAATCCCCAGCCCCTGAGACCCTGTTTCAAACAACACAAAATAGCTCAGAGAGCAAACAAAACATTTCAGTTCCTTTCCCAGCTCAACCCCACATCTGCTGCCCTTGGCACAGGGGTCAGCAGGTGTGTGTAAAATCGTTCAGTCCCTTTTTCACAGTGTAGATGTCTAATTGCCTCTAACTTTTTATTTCCTGACACCTTGTACAGATCTCTAGAGTTGATTTCATTCCATTTTGCCTTTCTTTTTCAGAAAAACAATATTTTTAAATTTAATTAATTATTTTTGGTGGTGGTGCTGCGGATCAAACCCAGGGCCTTGTGTAAGAACTGTACCACTGAGCCACATCGATTGCCCCCCTAATTAATTATTTTTGAGACAAGGTCTCACTGTGCAGTTCAGACTGACCTTGAACTCACTTTGTAGCCCAGGCTGGCCTCAACTCACAGCGATCCTCCTGCCTCAGCTTCCCAGGTGCTGAGGTTATATGTATGTGCCTTTTCATCTTAATAGAGTTTTCTTTTCTTTTTTCTTTCCTTATGGTACTGGGGATTGAACTCAGAGCCTTTGTACTGAGTTACTTCATTCCCTCTATTTTATTTTATTATTTCATATTTGAGACAGGATATCACTTAGTCACTAAATTGCCCAGGCTGTGTTCACATTTGTAATCCTGCTGGAATTCTAGACATTTGTGCTGTGCTCGGCTAAGGTTTATGTCTTGCTTCATAAAGCCATATATAGTTATCTTTTTACTTATTTTTTGTGACTGGGTGTATGGCTTGTGTCTAGATGTCCCTCTACACCTCGTGTGCTCATAGGTGGGGCTTTCTGGAAGTGGCTGGGGCTAGGGTGTGTGATGCTGGGATAAAGGGTGTGTGATAACCAAATGAGTTTAACAGAGCTCTGAGTGTGGGTGATGGAAGCCCCACCCTGGGTGTGGGTGGCATGGATCAGAAGAATTACAGCCCGGGGAATATAAAGGGACAGAAAGACTCAGGTACACCGCTTGGTGCCTCCTGCCTACAGCCACAAGCTGATTCCTGTCTGCCACGACGCTCTCTCTGCCTTGGAGCCCGCCAGCTATGGACTGAAACCTCTGCAAACTGTGAGCTAAATAAGTTCCTTTAAGTTTAGGTGTTGAGTATTTTGTCCCAGCAACAAAATAAGTAACCAAGATACAGGGTGTCACTGATACCTGTGTCCCAGATTCATTGTTTTGCAAACACTGAGAAATGAAGTTAGGAAATAAAGGAGATTCGGAGAGTTTTTATCAGAAATAAGGAAAATAGCTCCTGGGTTTCCTGGAGGGGTCCTGAGTGGGGTGGCTTCACAGCCCTCTTGCTTCTGCACAGCTAATTACAGAGCTCGGGAATCACTCGGTTGTTAGTGGCCACCTCTCAAGTGACTCAGGATTTACAATAACCGACTGGGACTCAGACTTCTAACTCAGTTCTTCCCCTTGTAGGGTATACAGGAACTGGAATTGCAGGAGGAACTGCTTAATTTTCAGCATTTCCTCAAAACTCAGGAACTTAGTAGGGAGGGGCTATGCTTCCCTTTAGCAGGGGATGGGCTTCTGTCCATGCTGTCTGAGGAAGTTCATCCTTTGTCCAAAGTCCGAGTCACTGTCTATTCTTAAAGGTTTTGTTGTTATTCTACTTGTTTATGGTTCAGGCTGGCATTCAACTCAGTATGTAGCCCGTACTAGCCTCAAACTCACAATGATCTTCCTGCGAACTCAGCCTCTCAAGTAAGTACTGGGGTTACAGGCGTGCACCACCTGTCTATATTCTTTTTTTTTTTTTTTGTGGTACTGGGGATCAAACTCATGACCTCACACTTGCCAGGCAGGCTCTTATGCCACTGAGCTAAATCCCTGGCCTATATTCCTAATTTTTATCAGTGTGGCTGGTCATCCCACTCTATCTCAGGGCCTTCTATGAGCTATCTGCCTTACCCATAAGCAAACTAAATAAACTGTTTTCTGTATCACTATGTAGTTCAGGCTGGCCTTGAACTTACCATGTAGCCCGTGCAGACTTTGAGATGGTGGCAGTCTTGCCTCAGCCTCATGTGTGCTAGAATTAAAGGCATTTGCCACCATGCCCAGTTTACAGCGATCTTTTTGGTTTCTTCCTGGTGCTGGTGATCTAATGCAGGGCCTCATGCATGCTGGGCGAGCATCCTACCTATGAACTACACCCCAGACTCTATATAGATTTATGTTTTTTCCCCACTGGAAAGCTAGTGTCTTTACACTGAACTACATCCTTTTTTGTTTTTGTTTTTATTGAACCCACCATGGCTTTGTACACTGCCACCAATCTATGTACTCAGCCCAGAACAAACCTTTGAAGTAAAGTGTTGATTAGGTCTGTGTCTATTTCAACAGTGATGAAATTAAGTACTGAAGAGATTGAAAAATCTGCTTAAGGCTGGTGGTGTACAAAAGTGCAGAGCTCTTGCCTAGGATGTATGAATCTTTGGGTTCTATCCTTGGTGAAAAAGGAAAAAAGAGACAGACAGACAGACAGACAAAGGGGCCTGGGATTTAGCTCAGCAGCACAAGCACCTGCTTGGCAAGTATGAGGTCGTGAGTTTGATCCCCAGTACAAAAAAAAAAAAAATAGACAAACGTGTTCCCACATTAGGCCACTTGGACAAAGCACCAGACTCTCCTGTATACACTGGGTCACCCAAATAAGGACTGAGAGACGGAGTAATCAGTCAGCGATGGGAGGGATAGCTTGCTGATGATGCTGAAGTCTCCAGGACCTGGGCAAAGTCATGTCGAGTGTGTGTAAATGCAAGGTTGGAGTTTCATCTCTCACTTTGATTCCTCTTTGTGTGGATCCACTTTAGCTTTTTGTTTCGGCACAACTGTGATGTTCATTTTCCTTTTACATGTTATTACTTTATTCATTTATGTATTTCATCGGTATGTGCCTGTGACCCTAAACTCATTTCTTACAGGGAATTGTTTCAGAGGCATCACATTTTCCTCCTTTTTACTTCCTTCTTGCTCCCCCATCTTCTCTATGTCATTGCTTTTAGAGAAATGATTGTTGGAGTTTTTATTTTTTATTTTTTTGTTACTGAGGATCGAACTTATGATCTTGCTCTTGCCAGGCAAGTGCTTCTGCCACTGAGCTAAGTCCCTGGCCCGAGTTTATTGTTCTTTGAGAGGTCCAAAGAGGAATTTCAATTTTAAAGGTCAGCCTTGGCAATTTATTATTATTATTATTATTATTATTACATACCCAGACTGTTCTCAGTCTCTCCATGATCCTCCTGCCTCAGCCTCCCAAGTGCTGGGATTATAGGTGTGTGCCACTATGTTGACCTTTTTTTGGTTCTGTTTTTTGAAGCCTGGGCGATTAGCCTGAGGCTGTCTCAGACTGAGCAAAGGGCTTCTCAGTTATATCTACAGGACTAAAAAAAGTTGATTGTCTTTTCAGACCTTTATATTGTTTACTCTTTTGTGTCACTCTGGTCCCTTAGAAAGCCTTTTACTTAACTCCTAAGCTCCTCCCAGTCACTCAGTAACTCCCTTTTTTCTTCTTGATTTTTAAGAAACCATTAAATTATCAATGCTTGAAATCACAATATTTATTTCTTGCCTATCTGCCATTTATCATCTGAGCCTCCTGAAGGTAAAGATTTGTGAGCCGAGCCAGGGCACGTGCCTGTAATCCCAGCACTCTCGGAGGATGAAGCAGGAAAATCATAAGTAAATGCAAGCCCAGCCTGGGCAGTTTTACAACTTAGTGAGAACCTATTTAAAAAAAAAAAAAAAACTGGGGGCTGGGGATTTAGCTCAGCGGCATAAGCGCCTGCCTTGCAAGCAGACAGTCGTGAGTTCAGTCCCCAGTACTGATAAAAAGGAAAAAGACAAAAAAAAAACAAAAAAAACAAAAAACAAAACTGGGCTGAGGATGTGGTTCAACGTGAAAGCACTGGGTTCAATGCCCAGCACATCAAAAAACCAACCCCCTCACTCCCACCCCATCCCCAGTGGATTGCTTTGCTCACTCCAAATCCCCAGTGCCTAGAACACAGCCCGAGGGGTGTATACGGCTCTACAGGAGGCTCCACTCCTTGCAGGAGGAGAGGGAAGAGGGAGGGGGCACAGGAAGGTTTTGAAGAGTAGGAGGCCCTTAGTGGTCCAGGCTGTGCTGCTCAAGGCTGGAAATTCCAGAAAGTTTAGTTTTAGGCTGCTGGTCAGAGAGGAGGGAAGGTGTTGGAATATGAGAGGAGCTGACAGTTTATGTCAGCAGGAACCAGGAACGGAAATGCGATCAGGGCCCCAGCGGTGACTGAATCTGAGGACGGCACTGCGCCCTATCCATACCTTATTTTCTCCATCCATCCTTATCATAAAATTTAATTTATAAATTGGGCACCGTTATGATGACTAATAATAAAACGTGGCATCTGTCTCAAAATGTCTTACGGTATGGTACTCACCATCCTGGGGTGAGCAGATGATACCCAGGCTGTGTGAGAAGGGATGCAGGGGGGACACAGCAGTTATTGGGAGTTTCTTTAGAAATGGCACACTTATCCATGGGGTTGGGGACTTAGCCCAGTGGCATAAGTGCCTGCCTGAAGGGCACGAGGTTGTGAGTTGATCCTCAATACCAAAAAAAGAAAAGAAAGTATTTCAGGTCCTTCTCGCCTCCAACAAAAAACTGGATAAGGCTAGCCAAAAATGATGCCAAAAGCTTATCTGAAAAGTGTGGGGTTAGCTGGGTAAGGTAGTGCATACCTATAATCTTAGCACTCCGGAGGCTGAGACAGGAGGATTACCCTCAGCTCAAGGCCAGCCTAGATTACACAGGGAGACTTCCCATCTCAAAAAACAAAACAAAACACCCCCCCTGAAAAAAAACCAAAACTAAAACAAAAAAGTGCAGAGTAAGTGAATATGGGAGAAACCAGCTCTGCAGAGTGAACTTGGAGAGGACAAGAGGAAAAGAGGGCAAGAAAAATAAAGGTTACACGTAGTGTCTGAGACACGCAGCGTGGGTTCTCCTTGGAAGTTGCCATAGTGAGCTGCAAACGTCTGATCTGAATCCACCAGGTGTACCACATACGGGTCCTGGCCTGGCGTTGCCCTGGGATCTTGTGATTGACAGGCCCTGCCCACTTCCCCGGCCAGTTTTGCCGCGCCCTCTCTCCTGTGCTGTTTTCCTCCCTCCCCTAGAGACGAAGGGGAAGAAAAGCCTGTCAGAAAGAGAAGAGGTAGTGACCCTCTGACTGCCTGTTCGCCCAGAGAGAGAAACTTTACCCTTAGCCCAGACTGGAGGAGCAGATCACACGTGCACGCTGCCTGCAGGGGAGAACGTTGCTGCAGAGGCATGTCAGGTAAATTCGCAAAAGTCCCAGAGCTGCAGCCTTAGCAAGATCCTGTTTACTTATCTGTAGCAGTGCTGGAGCTTTGCTTTTTGAAGAGACATTCCAGGTCTTCCAGAGGCTGGCAGGAGTAGCTTTGTTTTGGGGTGATCTTGTTCTTTAGACAGTTCACATGGGACTGGCTTTAGTCTAGAAAGAGGAACCCAGTTATCCATCGCTGCCACCTTTACTGCAGCAGGCGAGGCAAGGATCCCTGAGAAGGGAGATCTCCACCTCGGTTTCAGCTGGTCAGTAGGTGTCCTGTCTCTCCAAGTTTTGTTGAGCAGTCAGTCCCCAGGTGGACTTTCTGGGCCAGGCACCAGCAGGACTCTTCCATACAGCTGGATAGCTTGTACTTGGCCCAGACTGGTGAGATAATGCAAGAGAGTCTCGTGGTCTCTGGATCCATCACCACATCAGAGGGTAGAAATGCCTTAGCCCAGTTTGGGACGTGTTACCAACCTCATGATGCTATTGGCAGCAGCCAGAGCCAGGACTTAGATGTCTGTTGGCAAAGTTTTATCAGAGCTCGCTTGAGGTCTGGTTGGCTCTCTGTACCACTCCAGAAAGTTGAGGCCACCAAATGGCTTGAAGGTAGTTTATTCCTAACGCCTTTGACATTCCCTGAGTTATTAGGGAGGTAAAAGAAGGTGCACTGTCACTCTGGAGAGACTGAGGTGGTCCAAATAAGGGGAAAACTTTTTAAAAGAAGCTCCTGACTACCTCGGGAGTCTCCTCCAAATGAACTAGAAAGTCTTCAACTCAGCCAGCCTAGAAAGGCATCGGTTAGGGGCCGCAGTGTTTAAATCCTCGGTGTGATGGCGTGGGCTGATGTCTGAATCACAGTCCCCTCTGTCAGTTCAGGCATGTCCAAAACATTGCTGGCACAAAGTGGGCGGACTTTGCAGAACCACTCAGTGGTCATGTCTAACCCTAGCCCTGTGAAAACAGAAGTGACCATTTCCCATCTAGGACTGGTTCCTCAGGAACTGTGACCAAATCTTGGCCTGAGGGGCTGCAGGCCCAGTCTTTTGTTTCCCTTTCAGCCTTTTGATTCCCCTGACATGTTTCTTTGGTGCCCTTTACAGCTCATAACTGGACCTGTCTGGGAAGATGGACTGCCTCTAAGTCCTTGGACTGCCTTTACAGGTGACTGTTAGTAAGCCTTGTTCCTTCTGGATTGTTAGATGGGTGTGGAGCACCATAAAAGGCATGTCTGGAGTCTGCATAGATGTTGAAGCTCTTGTCTTTTCCTAGTATCAATGCCAAAGCAAGAGCTACCAGCTCTGTCTTTCGAGTGGAGATTCCCCGGGGAAGAGATTTCAATGACCCACTTCAAGCAGACAACTGCATAAGCTGCCTTTTGATGTCCTTCTCGGACAAAGCTGCTTCCACCAATGCACCACACCTCCTTAGGATCATAAAATTCAGCAGTGCTCCCCTGCCTCAGCTTCTTGAGTGCTGGGATTATAGGCATGCCTCACACCACCTGGCACATGTTAGTAATTCTTAAAAAAAAAAGTTAATTTGAAACCTGACTTGGTGGTGTACTCCTGTAATCCCAGCACTTGGGAGGCCAAGACAGGAGAATTGTTTGCAAGTTTGAGACCAGCTTGGGCTACAAAGCTAGCCCATGGTCAGCTTGAACTGCAAAGGGGGACCCTGCCTCAAAAAGACGAAAAAAATGATAGAATTGGAGTCCCTGTCAGGGAACCATCTGATAGAACTGTGGCATGGCTAAAAAGATAACAAGTATGAAATATAAATGACCTTTATTTTAAGAATGCGGGGAGAGACCCCCTGACCCTTCGGGGGCTGGCATTCTCTCCGTGGGACACGTGGTGTAGGGGCATACGTATAACTTAGGTTTGGGGTGGTGCCTAAGGGGCGTTAGTGATGCACAGGTAGCCCATTGGTATTCATTTCGCACCACAGGTGAATTCCTAGGGGCGGGGAAGATGGAGCCCCTTGGTTCCACCTCCAAGGCTTTACTGGCTACAGTATCCCATCTGAGCCAAAATCCTTTAAAAAAAAAAAAAGTTAATTTGGGGGCTAGGATTGTAGCTCAGTGGTGGAGTTCATCCTTAACATGCTTGAGGTCAAGAGAGAGAATGTGTGCTCACAAAGGCAGAAAAAAGACAAGTTATTCAAAATTGCACAATAAACACACCCACAATTCGTATTTGGTATGTTTATTTCAAGCCATAATTCCTAACTTTTGTTTTAAATACAATCATATTATAAGAAAAATTTTGTCTTGTTTCTTTTTTTTTTTTTTTTAACATTGTAAGTATTTCCAGTGTACCCAGACTCTGCATAAATATTACTAAGCCCTTTGTTATCCTAATAACTTGTGTAGAGCCAAGGATGGGTCAGAAACTGGGCTGAGGACTTTAGATATACTTCTTAATTTAATCTTTGCAAGAAGCCTACAGAATAATGACTTATAGCCTCATTTCTTTTTCTTTATTTAGGTTTCTATCTCTCTCTTCCAATCCATTTTATTTCAAAGAGAAAAAATCTTTTTAAAATTTCAAAACACACATCAATAAGGGGACAGCAATGGTATGTACATTGTACAATGTCATTCCCAAATCATTCACCCAGAGCACATCTGCATTCAATTGTCTAAACAATGCCAGCACAAATCTTTTTCTTCAGTGAACTCAGAGAAATCAGCAGTATAACTATTTTTTATGTACATTTATACACATACACATGCACATATGTTGTTTCTTTCAGCTTCTCACACTAGTGAGACAATATGATGTTTGCACGTCTGTCTGATTTATTTCATGTACGAGTATGCTCTCAAGGTACATCCACCTATCTATAAAAGTCTCCATTTATCTTTCTTTATGGCTGAGTAGTACTCCATTTATAAAAATACCACATCTTTTTTAATCCATTTCTCGGTCCATGGGCATTTAGGTTGTTGCCAAGATCTAGCAATTACAAACTGTGCTGTTATAAACATTGGTGCACATAGATTGTTGTGGCATGATGTTTTTAATTCTTTTGGAATAATATCCAGAAGGGGAATAGTTGGGTTGAATGGGACCTCTAGTCCCAGTTTTTTGAGGAATCTCCACACTGATTGCCACAGTGATTGCACCAGTCTACATTCCCACCAACAGTGAAGAAGAGTTCCTTTTTCCCCACAATCCCTCCAGCATTTGTTATTGGTTGATTTCTTGGTAATAGCCATTTTTTCTGGGGTGAGATGGAATCTCAGTGTTGTTTTAATTTGTATCTCTTGAATGACCAGTAATGTTGAACATTTTTTCACATATTTATTTGTTGTATTTCTTCACCTGAGAATGCCCATTTTTTGATTGGATCTTTAAATCTGGGAGGACTGATTTTTTTTGAGTGCTTTATATGTTCTTGATAGTAATCCTTTTTCTGAGGAACAGGTGGCAAACATTTTCTCACATGTTGTGGATTGTCTCTTTGTTAGTGGTTTCTCTTGCTGTGCAAAAGATTTTCAATAGTATAAGATCTCACTTGTTGATTGTTTGTTTGTTTGGTCTTTTTGAGCAGCGTCTCACTATGCAGTTCAGGCTGACCTTGACTTACTTGGGAGTCCAGGCTGGTCTTGAAACTCACAAGATCCTCTTGCCTCAGCCTCTCAAGTGCTGGTATTACGGGAGTGCACCACCACGTCCGGCTTACTTGTTGATTCTTTGTGATAGTTCCTGTGCAATCTGGGTCTTGTTCATAAAGTCTTTGCTTACACCTATGTCTTCAAGAGTTTCACCAGTTCTGTCTTCTAGCAGATTTGATGTTTCTATTTTAATATTAAGATCTTTGATCTGGGGGCTGAGGATTTAGCTCAGCGGCATAAGTACCTGTCTTGCAAGCAGGCAGTCGTGAGTTCGATCCCTGGTACCAATAAAAATGAAAAAGACAAAAAAAAAAAAAAAAAAGATCTTTGATCTGTTCCAATTTTAGCTGAGTGTGTGGTGAAAGATATGGGTCCAGTTTTAATTTTTGTCAAAGTTAAGGTGGCTTAGTGTGTTTGGAGTTGTTTCTGCATCTTCTAAATCTGTTCCATTAATCCTTAGATCTGTGTTGTTTTTTTTTTTGTCAGTACCATGCTGCTTTTATTTATTTTATTTTTTTGTTACTGGGGATCAAACTCATGGCCTTGTGGTTATTACTAAATCCCCGGCCCAATGATGTTTTTTTCACAGTAGCTTTATAGTATAATTTCAAGTCAGGGATTATGACGCCCTCTGTGTTGTCTTTGTTGTCCAAAATTGCCTTTGCTATTCTAGGTCTCTTCTTATTTTGTTTTTTTTTGAGACAGGGTCTTCCTATGTAGTTCAAGGGGGTCTCAAACTCATGGAAGTCCTCCTGGTCCAGTCTCCTAAGTGCTGGGATTATAGGCACGCACTAGCATGCATAGCAATAACTTCATTTATTTGGATTTTTTTGTTTGTTTGTAACACTGGAGATTGAATTCAGGGCCTTCACACTAAGCTACATTCTTAGCCCTTTTTTTTAGTTTTGAGACAGGGTCTTGCTAAGTCCCACAGACTAGGCTTGAACCTGTGATTCTTCCGCTGCAGGCTCCCAGAATGTTAGAATTACAGGCACATGCCACAGTAATAGCCTTATTTATTTATTTAGCAGTATTGGGGATTGAACCCAGGGCCTTTGCACTAAGTTGTATCCCTGTTCCTCCTTCTAGGTTTTATTTTGAGATGGAGTCTCACTAAGTCTGCTAAATTGCCTAGGCTATGTTTGGATTTGCAGTCCTCCTGCAGCCTATTAGGGTGCTAGGATGGTAGGCATAGCCACCCTGCCCAGTCAGCAATAGCCTCCTCTATTGGAGGACACTGAGAAGGAAACGGAGTGAGGATTTGAACCTAGGCTTTGTGATTCCAGAGTCTGTGCCACTGTATGGAGGCCAGGAATAGTGGTGTCCACCTACAGTCATAGCACTTGGGAGGCCGAGGCAGAAGGAGGGCTGTGAGTTTGAGGGAAGGAATTTGTCCAGTGTCCCAAAGTTAATAAGTGCTGGGGCTGGGGATTTAGCTCAGCGGCATAAGCGCCTGCCTTGCAAGCAGGCAGTCGTGAGTTCGATCCCTGGTACCGATAAAAATGAAAAAAGACCAAAAAAAACCCACAAAAAAACAAAGTTAATAAGTGCTAAAGTCACTTTGGCTTTGCTTGAATCCAGAGTTCTTTACCCACATGGAGGGTGACTATCAGCCATAAGACTGGAACATTTGAAATGTGGTTGAGATGAGTGGTACACGTAAAATGGACATGAAATATTGCCAGACTCATCGGCACATACATGTCTCAAATCCCAGCTATGCAGGAGGCTGAGGCAGGAGAAATATAGCTTGGAGGCCAGCGTAGGCAATTAGTGAAACTCCATCTCGAAAGAAAAGATAAATCTGAGTCAGGAGGATCATTAGAAGTTCAAGACCATGGGGCTGGGGATTTAGCTCAGCGGCATAAGCGCCTGCCTTGCAAGCAGGCAGTGTGAGTTCGATCCCCGGTACCGATAAAAAGGAAAAAGACAAAAAAAAAAAAAAAAAAGTTCAAGACCAGCCTGGGCTACAAAAAGTGAGCTCAAGGCCAGCCTGAACTGAGACCTTATCTCAAAAAAAAAAAAAAAAAAAAAAAAGACAATCAATCAATCAATCAATAAGGTCAGGAGATCTAGCTCAGGGCAAAGGCCAAGAGTCAGTCCCTAGAACCAGGGGAGAAAGATGGCCAGGAGTATTCTAGACAGCTAATTTAGGTAGAAATATGATAGATGGTGGATGCATCAAGGTTGGCTGGAGGCCATTTGAAGAAGATTAAAATCACATTGGCCATATTTATGTACTTCCCTAAGGGATAAGTGGACATTTGAGATTATAGGTGCCACCTTTTTGAGATTTCCCGTATAAATAAACCATTATTTCCTTAGTGTGGGACCTCTTCCCCCACCCACCAAGACTAGGACTAAAAGGACTAAGATTCAGATTCAGATTCCTAAGACTAAAACTAAAAACAAGATTAAAACTGTAGATTATCAGCCAAGGTTAATGATGTCACTCATCTGTACTGGCAACTACTGTATCAATATTAGCAAAGTAGCTAGACTTGTAATCGTATTGGTTGATTATAGTTTCGACCCACATTGT